ACTTTCAGCTCAGAGTTCTATTGATAAACTTAAATCACCCTATAGACATATCATACGCAATTGTATTGATACTGAATTGTGGAATAAAATTGAAGTGTTTGTTAAAATTTCAAAGTACTACTTTGTTTGCCAATCAGCACGCGACAATACGCTGTTCAAACTATTGAACAAAATTGTGTGGACTGTCGATAAGGCGGGCATTTTTAATTTTGAATATAAATTATAAGTTAAAAAAGAACATAAGAGGCAGAGAAAACGTAAATATAAGTATTGAACTGTTTTTGTATGGTATTTATGATCTATTTGAATGACACAGCTTTGCAAGCAAACAAATCATAATGCGCTCGCGCGCATTATGTTGTTTGCTTGAAAAGATGTGTCATTCAAATAGATCATAAATACCTACCCACAACAAAAATAATAATATTCATATATGTATATAGTTGCACACCCTACAGATTAAATATATGTTTTGTTTTAAAAGAAAAATATTTGATTTTGTTTTGCATCACCGACAACGTCACGAATGCGTTACTGTTTGAAAAAAAAAAATCCTTTTGTACCTTAGAGGTAACAATAGATGGAAGTTCCACAACTCGCAGCAATTTGCTATCATTATTATTATTATCGTCAGTTGATTTTCAAATTTAGAAGCCATTCGGTAATCCTCGTGTTAATTCGAAATTAGAAAATTTACTTACTCGAGTCATATAACAGAAGACAATCAACTGGCATTAGTTATGGAACCTCCGTTTACATATTACACCAGCTAAATATGTGCGACCTACAGAAGCGATCATTATGAACAAAGTTGAACATATATGGGGTTTTCAAATGTTGTTCTCTATCGAAATACTCTGGTAGATCGGTTTGCGCTATTATATCTATGTAGTGTTTGTGTTGTATCTCTTATGCTTACGGAAAGCATTTTAAAATGCAAACAACAACAACACCCAGAACCAAGCTAACGTTATGAAAAATACAAGTTAAAAATTTGCGGACTAAGCGCTGGTGTGATAGTTAGTTGTACAAGTGCAAAGTTTTATTTGATTTAGCCTATTACCTTATGTATTTTTCTTGCTTCTTACGTTTACAGTTAAATGTATGTTATATATTCAACATCACAAGTTAAAGAAAATGTTCGTAGTCGAACCTCTCTTTATCTGTATGCAGGAACCACTCCAGCACGTTCTAATTTGCCTAGAAGCTTTGACAACAAAGTATTTTTTTATTCGTAAAAACACGAAGAAAATCCAAACATTTGTATATGCTTTATTCTGTCATTAGCACTTTCTTGGAAATATACTTTGAATGATCTGTGCAAACCGAATATCACAAATCAATTTTGTATTATATGATATGCTTTAGTCCTAACAGTTGTTCGCAATGCACCTTTAATTTTATGAAATTAGGATTACAAGTAAATGTAGAGTTTCGATAGCGTGCAGACAGCAAATCAATTACCAGGATATATTGTTGTCTGTACGAATAAAACAAAACAACATGAAAATAGATATCAGAATTAAAGTGTCAATAAAAATCGAATTCGACCGCAAAATTGATAAAAAAATGAGGGCAGGATATGAGCAAAGGAAATTTTAATAAGCAAACCATTGAAATCCTACACGGAAAATAAGATCTTACGTTCCAGAAGGGTAAGCGCATTTTCTTCATCGATGACACCTGTTAAATAAATCCAGGTCGAATTTAAATAATGTTTTGTCCTTAAATTGAGAACATGGGTAGTACCACGGATACAACAAGGTGCTCTAATGAGCATTAGCAAAACGTCGACCTTCTTATGATACAAAAAACAAGACAAGACATCAACACACAAAATAACGGGATTTAATCATCATGGATCATTATCGTACAACACATATCTGTACAGACTGGCGACTTGAATTGGTATTTTACCTCTGAACATTAGAGTTTCAGATAAGAGATACTAATATTACAAAATCGTCATTGTTCAAGTCACCAATGGAATAGTAATAAAAATATTGTCGTAAATATGAGGAATTACCTTTTCGTTTGTTTGGTATAAGCAGATCACAAGAGAGAACCAAAAAGTCAGTTTACATGAAGTGCTTCGACATTCGTAGAATGTCTACTTTTAATTGACAATATTTACATGTATCTACAATTGTCAATTCACAAACTTCGACAAAAGAGATTTCAATATTTCCCACTGGACCAAGCTATAAAATCAATAAAGAAATAAATACGAATGAATCTTTATGCGTGTATTTTTTTACTTAGTTTTTAAGCTTCAAATATGATTATATCTAGTCCAAAAGGGTTTTAATTTGGGGGATCTGTCTATAATATGCTGCGATTTCTTAAAATAATACACTGATCAATATAAACAAAGGCAATTCGACAACTGAATATACAAATACAAAAGTCATTTTCTCCGTGTTTATGAGAATTGTCGTTATAATAGCGATGCATTTATTGGAATTTAAGATTTACATGTCTAAATTTCCGATTATGGTTTAAAAAGATAAACGTTGACTCAAACTGTTTATCTTTCCTGAATCTACTTTTCCCTCCGGTTTTTGATGAAGTTTCAGGTGGATCTACTTTAATTTGTAAACTTTTAAATTGTAGGAAAGTTGGTGGGTTTGTGTTTGATAGTGTTCAAGTCCAACCGGGAAATCGAACACCGACCGCCTTGGTGAAAGGTGAGTGCATTATCCAATTGCCGCCTATTGGACTCGAACCCAAACGTATATCATATTCGAATCGCCCATATAGACACTCTAAACAATGGTAAATACCTGAAGTATAAATATAATATCATGTCAAAGAGGAAAGTGTGTTAATGTGAGTGAGAATAGATATTTAAAACGGAAGAGGTTGATAAAATCAGTCCTAAATAATTATAGTCACGTAGGAAAGTTTCATTGAAAACTTGGAAGAGCAGTAAAACGCTTTTATTGAAGATACCAGTTGGTAAGAAAAATCCCGAGACAGCCATTGTGACTATGAACCCTTCAAAATGAAATTGGATTACGTTCAAGTTTTCCAGCTTGTTTGGGTTCACATTGGAATTGATGCATGGAAAATAATTTCAAAAGAAAAGAAATTTTATCAACTGTAAATTTAGTTATTGCGAATCTTGTGAGCCTATGGAAGCAAACTATATGTACTACTTGCTCGAATGAAGTGATCTTGATGTATATCTTTTATATGCGCTGTTGTTTGTGTAGTTTGCTTTGTCGTCGTTACAAAGACACAGTAAGATAAATATTCCTTATTTTCTGTCCATGAAAATACACATTTATTTCAAAACACAATTTAAGTATAAATCACAAAAAGCGTTGAACAATTCTTCATAATACAAAAAAAATCCAATGTATCAAATTGATTATAGCGCTAAAATACTGAATCGCTCAGAAAAGTTGTGCGGAAAGCTATTCAAATGTACATGTATTGAATCTAAACAAGAATATAATTGATGATACTTTACTACCATGCTTACTTATATAATACCATGTACTTACCTATGATGATTTTCTCATTCGTGAATCAACGTGCCAAGATATGGTTGATCATATTTCACCATGTCCGGACCCTTTTTCACCATATGCAATTTTTGTAACACCTTTTCACATGCTAAACTATTACTACAAGTTATAATTAATATATGGCTGTATATAATTGATATCGTTTTGACACGACACTGTTGTTATAACTAAATTCTATGTACAGAAAAAATATCTATATACACATTCTACTAAATACCATTATCTATACAATCGTACATCGACTGATCGCATAAAAATTAAAGGGCAAATATAGCAAACAGTATGCTTATTCAATAAATGTATATACAATTTATTAAACTAATACATGTGTACTTAACTCGCACAAATATCTTACTTTAAACCGAGACATATTCTCTGTAGTTTAACTTTCGCCCTCCTTAATGAGGGCAAATTAATCATGACAGCAGATACTAGTAAAAAGAATGACACATAATAAGTATATATGAAAGGCAAAATAACACTGGGCGAATACAATTTTTCATAACGAAGGGCGAATATTTATCTGGTCGAAAAGTCGCATACAATAGCTAAAGCCATTCAATCTATATTCTATCAAGATATGTTTCTCATATTTTGATAACAATAGTTATTTTGATGAAACAACATAGAAGAAGACCAGAACACCGAAGAAGGAATTACATTTTAAAGAGGTAGTCAATAAGTAAAGTGAATGTACATATGCGAAGGAAGTTAGTGGATGACACAAATGCAGTCCGTATATTATACACATACACATACATGTACATGCATAATAACAAACGGCATAACGTGTTTAGTTGATTAAAACATGTAATGCTTTGCAGAAAATATTAACATAAATTAAACGAGTTTTCAGTAAACAATTTTACTCATATCAGAGCATATGTTTTTTTCTTACGGTGTGTATGTTGAATATGATCCAATTTGGCTTGATTAGAAACTGACATACTAATACTATCGGTATTATCACTATGATAAGAAAGTGTTGACCACGAAACTCATTTATATGATATTACCTGAGACACACATTTTGTCGTCTCGGTGTTTAAAATGGATGCTGGATGCTGCATTGATTTGCAAAGTTTATAAGAAGAATGCAAAATTACCATTCTCTTTCTTTTAAAAGAGTCGCTGGTTTGTTGACACAAAACATAAAATGCAATAGACAAGAAATAAATGAAGTATGTGAATAAGCATATTGCACACATTTCTCAGAGTGTATGACGTAGTGCACATGGATGTTTCAGCGTTCATATACATGTTTAATTTTTCATAAAATGTTAGAATTTATACAATAGAATGGTTTAGTGTCATTTTAATATAACTACAGTAAATCCGACTTTGTGAAATTCATTCTTTATTCCAAGAATATCTGACTTTGAGAGCGCAAATCCTCATACTAGGTCCAGCCAGCTCTGTGGAAGTCATAGATATTCAGCATATTTGAAAAAATAAACACTATATATACGGCATTGCTGATTCTGTTGAAGTCATAATAGTACTCTGTATAGCGGACCCATCGTACTACATATCCAGTTTAGTTGGTTCTGTAAACAGCATACGACATACACTATTTACACAAACTGAAACTTATTGCACTAACGAACATCAATAATTTTTCTTTCGTATCCCTTGATGATTAATCATTGTCACAAATCTTACACAATATATAGATATAGGTTATTCAAATCCCGTATTTCATCGTCGATCCAGTGCATTTTGATCCGAGCTATTTTATTATGTTGTCAAAATTATCATTACACTCCTATCAAAGCCGTTATTTTGCTGAAACGAAATTCTTCTTAAAATTTAATGGTAATGGTTGTATTTGATGAAGTTGATTTTATCAAGAAGACGAAAAAATTTGTTCATTTTATCGCATGGCATTCAGTTCCATACTGTTTTGACTGCTCGCATTCCACTTGTATTTTATCGACGGTTGATAAATGTTCTTGGAATCGCCAACGTAGTCAGAGCGAGTACTAGCCGTTGAATAAACCGTCCGAGTGGTCGAATTCCCAATGGCGTCTGAGCTCGATCGTTTTCGGTCACGAGCGTATCGTCCATTGCAATTGAACAATAAGAAAACGTATGGATTAGCTGCCGAGTTTGCTGCCGCTAGCCCGCCAATGATTCCATACACTAGATCTGATATGATACAATGATCTCCATAGGACATGATCATCTCGGCAATGAAGTATGGAATACCACACACGAGAAACACTACGACGATCACAAATGTCATCTTCAATGTTTTGATCTTCGCCTTTGGTAAAGAACTAGAGTTTGTGCTTTGGAGATGTATCTTGCCAGGTTTTATTGAATGTCGTTTCGAGACCTGGCACTCTTTTGCTTTTCGTGCAATCTTTAAGAAAATACTTGTATAACAGAATATGAGGAGACATATTGGGATGAGAAACACGATGACGGCAGCATATGTTAAGAACGCCTTCCTGTGGGACCTCGGTAGATCTCTGAATATATTCTCACACTTTGTGACACCATCGACGACGTTTGTTCGGAACACGTATAACATCGGTAGGGATCCAAAGGCGGCTACTGCCCAACCAGCGCCAGCCATCTTCCATACCTGTAATGATAAAATACATTCATTATACACAACATAGATGTGACAACAATAACATAGTAACATTGCATTCAATATGTGACATTCATTTAACGATCGTTATTAAATGTATAGAGGAGGAACAAATATAAAAACAGGAATAAATCTAGTGCATGGGAAACATTCAACTATGACCCTTGGAAAGGTCAGGTGTTTCGGAAGGGTGTCCGTCGTGTTAATCGAGGTCAAATTCTAGTAATGTCACATCTGAAAACGCTTGATCTTCACAACGTTTACTACACCATCAGTACTCATACTCTTTGTGTCAAACTGTCAAATACAGATAGGAGTGTCTTTTTGTCAATAAAAATGATAATTATTTTGTTACACACCATAATATAGGAAACACACGGAGGATGATATTGTAAGCATTATCACTTTCGTTTTGGTTCGGCATTAATTTTGCTAAATTTATTTGAAGAATTACTCAATCGACTATAGGTCTTTCAATGTTGACTGACTGTACCACATCAAGCTGACGATATACCCTTAATGCACAATTGACATATTTTTGGATACAAATATTTTTCTTCTTCTCCCAAATGTAAGATATTGAACATTACAACATTTGCCGCGTCATGTTCAGTTTAAGATCCGGACGCATACAGACAACAGGAGTTATTGACCCTTTGCTATCAAACACTACTGAACATGATCCGTTTATTTGCAATGCTTTCCTAAATTGGATTTTATATATCGTAAATGAAAATGACCGTTGACGAAACCTGTTCTAAATATCAGGATTTTCAAGCTGGACGCGTCCTGTTCAACAATCGACTAAATACACTTCAGTAGGAGTTATCTTAAGGTCGTCACTATAAACTTATTTCAGACTTCCTCACTGGATCGTTAGAGATTTGCATATACTGCATACCGGTTAATTTTTGAAGCAGGTTTATTTTGCGATTTCCACGGAAAGGGTCAACCATAAATCCAACAACTCAGAGAATGTTGTTCCATGCCTTATTTTGCGATCTTAAACAAAACACAATAATAAAAATGTAATATGCAATGTAAAACGTACATCATACAGTTCAAATGGCTGACAAATATCGTCATGAAATATAAGGTTACAGCAACTTATTCACACTGTAATTACGGTTTATAAGAAAAACATGAAGATGTTTCTTATTTCAGATATACTACTGCTCATTTAAAGGTATTAACAAATACTGTAGGATAACTACAGAAATAAAAGTACAATAAAAAGATTCATTACGTTAAAAAATCAAACAGTGTCTTCTTTCCGCGGATTCTACCGTGTGCGAATACACACTTCCTAGCGGAAAACAATATGCATGAATTCAAAGCTGCATACAGTATCATATAGGTTTTTGCAAGTTTAAAAGATAGCTATTAAAACGCTCATGTTCTAATAAAATCATTTGTGCTACAGTATATAATCATCTCTATATTTGCGTTTGTTACGCTAATTTCTTCATCTTTGTTAACGGATGGCGTTATACACATATTTTTTTTTTAAAAATGCATGATTTTACATGCAATAAACCCAGTTGAATAACGATTTGACCTGATCGTCACAATTGAGATTTTGAGTAAAACAAATCCAGGTACTAATTACACAGCACTCTCGATGTCGTTTTTAACATAACACGTAAAGATAACATAATTTAAATGAGATTTGTATATGAAAAAAAAATTGAATCAATTATCACTAGACTGAATATCAGAAGATGTCAATTAGTATTTTCTTCTAAGAAGTTATTTGATTTATTTACATGTACTTACAAATCATCTAAGTTTGCTAAAGAAAGCTACCACTGTGCACTGCGTAACACATCATTACTTCTGTTTTACAATTTATGATTAAAAAAGTCATATTGTTAAAACAAAATGAAACGAACATCATCCAATGACGAAATACATCTCCTGAATGGAAACTAAACAAAAATATTTTAATTGGGTTTTATTTAGCAAAAGAAGTTAAATGAATACAAAGCGTATGACATGAATTGTCATTCTGAAAGTATTTTGTTGCAACGGTCTGTGAATATTATGTAATTCTGTCACATATAGGTGGAGCTGAAGCTTTCCAAATTCGTGCTGAAAAAAACCCCGACAGACACGCAAAACCTATTAGGATAGATACGCATTATAACTCTATTCGTCAATTGATAATAACACAACTCTAGTGCGATGTTGCATGCAAGAAAACATTATATCAAGTATGTTCGGACGGATTTTCACATAAATGCATCTAGATGAAATATAATGTATATCACTTACTATGTCTTAACTTAAACATTTACTTATAAATAGTCTAAACAAAAAGTGCAAGAGAAATCGCGTGTCAATAAATAAGGAAATATTGCTGAGCTTTCAGGATGCCTACGTACACTCGATCCATACCATTCTATCAGAGTGTCGGCAGACCAGACTGCTTTTAACGATTATTTTCTCGGTAACTTTTGTCTTGCATTCGGTTTAAGGACTTTTCATGATATGCCGTCAAAAATAAATATGGCACCAAACGTTTGTAACGTTATTACAATGCCTTGAGACATAATAACCCTGAGTTCTATAAATGGTGAGTAAACACTCTCCTTATATTCACATTCATAACACCCTATTGTATAGTTAAGGTATTATCCTTTTACTTGATGGTTCCTAGTTATAGGACATTTACGGTACAACCAAGAAACTGTAAACGTATCAAATTATTCTACCGTAACAAATATGAAAAAGGATATCATTCCTCGTTTTGGCCTCGACATTTACTGTGATGTTAAACAGACAATCACCATGTCGATAGGTACTCTGATTTATTTAAATCCCGTAACTAGCGGCAGATTGATTTTGAGCAATATTTAGAAATCATCGTGGCGTTCTATTACCTCGATGCATATCGCTTAAATTCTGCTTCGTTAAACTCGATCGAAGTCAATTGCAAGATGCCAACATCGCGTGATTGGCAGATGATCATGTTATATTTCAGGTGTAACAGTTCTTAATTCAAGGTCACTGGAAACGATCCCAAGGTCTCTCTTTTGTTGGTAAAACAGACATGAATTTACTTAGACAAGGTTTTATGCCTGGTATTTTAACAACTTTATCGCGCCCTTCTCCAATCTGTTTAAGTCATGTTTGTGTAATGTTTTCCTCGTTTTATATTTTGTCCAGGTTTCTTTAGATTTAAAGTTTACACTTCGGTATTCTCTTTTTAACAAGAGGCCCAGAGGGCCTGTATCGCTCACCTGGATATCTAAGCAATCATGGCAAAATATTCTCCAAATGAGACCAAGGGAATATGCCAGACCCCAAGGCCAATCCTTATAGCATATCTGTATTAAATTGTTCATGTCCAGAATTTTTATGTATGGTTATGGGTTGAGAATCTCAACTGTTTCCAAACTGTGACTCAAAAACTAGGTCCATAGGTTGTGGCCTGACCCCAGGATCAATTCTTATATCAGGACTGCATTCGTCTCTTTATGCCCAACAATTGTATATATAGTTTTGGGGTGGGGATCTTAACCATTTTGAAGTTATGACCCAGGGGTTGAGTCTCCAAGGCTTGGGAAGACCCCAAGGCCATCCTGAAAGCATTTGTGCATTCATTTCTTTATACTCAGCAATTGTATATATGTTTTTTTGGGTGGGGATCTCAACTGTTTCCAAGCTGTGACTAAGAAACTAGGTCACTAGGGGTTCGGTCAGACCCCAGGGTCTATTCTAATATCACGACTGCATTCGTCTCTTTATGTCCAGCATTTGTATATGTAGTTTTGGTGAGGGGATCTCAACCGCTTCAAAGTTATGACCAAGGGACTATGTCTCCAAGGGTGTGGCCAGACCCTAGGGCCATCCTGGAAGCAACTGTGCATTCTTCTCTTTATACTCAACAATTGTATATATGGTTATACGGTGGGGATCTCAACCATTTCCAAGTAATAAACTTGTTTTGACCCCACCCTTCAGCCTCCTGGAAAGTCAGCCCCACCATTTGTACAATTTTGAATCCCCACCACCTAGGGATACGTCCAGTCAAATATGGTTGATATCCATCTCTTAGTTCCAGAGAAGAAGTCGCTTAAAGCAATATAGCTAAATTGTGTCCACCCCTCAGCCCCACCATTTGTACAATTTTGAATCCTGACCACCTAGGGATGCTTCCAGTCAAATTTAGTCGAATTCCAATCAGTGGTTAAGAAGTCGTTCAAAGAAATTGTTGTCGCACAGACGACGGACGACGGACGCCACGGTATCACATATAGCGAGCAGGTGAGCTAAAAAGTATGTACCGACATCGGAACGATCCTACCAACATCGGAACAATTCTACCGACATCGGAACAATTCTACCGACATCGGAACAATCCTACCGACATCGGAACAATCCCACCAACATCGGAACAATCCTACCGACATTGGAACAATCCTACAGACATTGGAACAATCATATCGACATTGGAACAATGCTACCGACATCGGAACAATCCTACCGACATCGGAACAATCATATCGACATCGGAACAATCATATCGACATCGGAACAATCCCACCGACATTGGAACAATCATATCGACATTGGAACAATGCTACCGACATCGGAACAATCATATCGACATCAGAACAATCCCACCAACATTGGAACAATCCTACCGACATTGGAACAATCCAACCAACATTAGAACAATCCTACCGACATTGGAACAATCCTACCGACATCGGAACAATCCTACCGACATCGGAACAATCATATCGACATTGGAACAATCATATCGATATTGGAGCAATCCTACCGACATCGGAACATTCCTATCGACATCGGAACAATCCCACCGACATTGGAACAATCCTACCGACATTGGAACAATCCTACCGACATCGGAACAATCCTACCGACATTGGAACAATCATATCGACATTGGAACAATCATATCGATATTGGAACAATCCCACCAACATTGGAACAATCCTACCGACATTGGAACAAACATATCG